TGTCCAATTAGGGTAACACATTAGAGTTATACATATCAGCTTCTAACCGCTATAACCGGATAATCATTGATGAGAGTGCGTCTATATTGACCTACATTTATATATGTAATAACAATCAAAGCTAATACATCGTATTTTCATTCTAATGTTATGTTTAATGTTAAAACAACTGTTTTGGCATTTTATCTTTGGAGCAGTTACGTAATTTGTTTTGTAGATCTATCCGAAGATTTCAATGATACTTTGCAGCAGACTTCTCAATTTTTCTTTAAAAACAATTGCTAATTCTTTATCCAACAATTGTTAATTTTTGAACTGCTGGTCGTAACTCTATTTTAATTGTGATGTTAATCGCATTCACGATCTCTATGTTTTATTCTAATGATTATTTTTATTCTAATAAGTGTCTCATCTTATAAGTATTAGTATTATTATTTAAACAAGTTGTTTAAATAAAACTTATTAGAATAAAAATTAACGGCATGTGACGTTAGTATCAACGTGCAAAATAAAATTTAATTTTTAAAATTATTTTTATATGTAAAATTTAGTTTATTAAATCTTATTTTTCAGTTCTCATCAGAACATCTGGCCGTAACGGCAGAAGAAATTATGTCATTCGAAACTTTTACGAATGTAATTTTTAAAATTTTTGAATTTTTAATTTTTAAGAAATTATTTTATCTGACTTATAATCAATTTGCTATACATTTTTACGCAAAAAAATAAATTGTAGACCACACTTAATTATTTTTACTACTATCTTTTTTAAGATGATCTTACACAGTAAATAATACTGTCAGTATTAAAAAATATTGACAAAATGACTGATCGTACGTTAATATTGATGGATTGACGTAGAATACTGACAGTGATCTGGATTTTGATTCTCGAGCATCAGTGTCACTTTATTATAGGATTAATGTCACAGTATGTTACAGTGCAATAGATAATGTTCGTAAAACTGAAGCGGAATGTATTGTCAATAACAATGATGGTGTAAGATTATAAAAATATTAAAAATCTTGATGCATATTGTCAGTATTACTGATTTAATATTACTGATCAGTTATTAACCATGTAGAGTCATCTTTAGATCATAAAAACATCAATATCATATGTATTTGTCATGAATGCTTTATATGATTCGAACAATAATACGATGGACATCTGTTAAAATAAAAATGAAATTAGTGTAAAGCCTAATGTCCACCATGCTAAAAATCAGTCTGAGACCTCGGATAAAGAAAGAATTAACCAATCGCATCATGTGATCAAATTGTTCAAATGTGACCAAATTGTTCAAATTGTTAATTTTTTTTCTGTCCGAGATGTCGCACCGATTTCTAGCATCGTGGACATTGGCCTTAAATCAATGAGGTGATAATAAAGTTTTGATAATAAATTTAGAATTAAATTGATATTAACAATTATTGTTTATTATTCATTAGTTATTTGTGAATAAATTATTTAAATTAAAAGTTATATTTAATATAAAATAATTAATATAAAAATTGTAAATAATTTTATTTATATATTATTATTACTATATTACATTATACACTTATATTTAAAAAGTTTGTTGAGGAAACCATCGGACTTTTCTCGGGCATTGATTCTTTATTAAAAAATTATATATTATATATTTTTTTTATGTATAAACATATGATGTTGAAGTATATATGTAGATATATTTTAAATTAAATATTTATAACATTTCCAATTGAACAATTTTTAATCTTCAAATATCTTTCATAAACAAGAATGTATAATAGCATTCCGAGAAGCACTAAGGAATATCATTCGTCATTTTGCCCATCTGTCGCGTTCTTCCCTCATATTATTTCTTCGAAGATCAGAAGTCGAATTACATGAATATAATTCAGTTCCATTCGCTTAGAATACCTAATGTATAATTATCATATTATTCTTATACACGTTATTCTGCTGTACGTTTAACAATTTTTGCAATGTGCATGTGTAGACTGTAGTGGACGTTTTTTTTCTCTATGGAAATACATTGCAAAGAGATAAGTTCACAAGAAAAAGGAACTGACAATTTTGTCGCATCGAGTTTGTTTAGCAATAGTTCGATTTAGATGTCTTTATTATTTTACGTTGTTAGACAGAAAATTATTTCTGTCTGTATATAACAGAAAATTATATGTCCATAAAAAAATTAGCTCTATCTGCATTTGCTATTATATTATACAATACATAATGATTGATCCCATTTACGTAGAAATGCACTGAGTGGGGATATACTTAAAGAAATAGATGATATATTGAAGAAATAGACGTTTTATTTACTTCTTATCTAGAGAATCGAACGAATGTGCAAACACTGATCTTTATTTTCTTACATATTAAAAACTATTGGCAAATGATCAGAAGCACTGTTAGCCCAGTGCTGAAAATTGGTTTCCAATTTTTCGGCATTTGGCCGGATGTCTCGTATTCTACCGTTCACAGTATGAGTATTATATCAAGCGTGCTGATCATACAGTACTTTCAATATTTGTACATTTTTAAACACTTCAAGATCAGCGAGATTTCGAATCTCAATGAAAGTTTGAATTTAACTTTTATATACGGCTTGACGGTATTTAAATTGATTTATCTGTGGATACGTCGTCAGTAAGATATTTTATTACACTATGTAATTCAACTTTGTTCAACTTAGTTTAATTCCGTGTTTGAAAAATAAATTTTTTTCTCAGTTTTATAACATATTGTTAATTTAGTTTTCCATAGCAAAAGTGATATATTATCATCTCTCTAAACTTTAGCTTGAGTGTTAAACACAACATTGATGGCGTGAAAAAAGTGCGATTTTTCTATCTAAAGTATTTAATAGATTAAAAAAATTGCAGAGTTTTTCGTCAAATTCTGGTTGCTATGGATAATGATTGGCGCGAGTGCATCAATATGGATAAATATTTGTATATAATGACAATTAAAGCCAATTTAGCACATTTTATTTCCAATAGTATATTGAGTATTAGTGTGATTATTGCGATACCTTATTTCTTAGGCGAGTATATAATTCATTCCGTATTTTTAACTGAAGATCAAAATAATACTTTACGACCGCTTCCTATGAAGATTCAACTTCCCTTTGATACTCAACAATCACCAATATTTGAGATTGTTTATGTGACATTATTTTTACATAGTATAATAATATTTGTTTATATGGTTTCTATTGTAAATGGATTGATTCTTACATTGGTAACTATTATATTTTATATGTATATATTCATTTTTCATTAATTTTTATGTGATAAGGAAATTTATGATACAGAATTAAAACTTACTTATAAACTACAGTAAACCAGTCGTAATAATATTTTATATGTTGTAATTTCTAAAATTTTATTATATAAGATAAATGCACTAATTATTGAACAATTAATGAACACAATCCAATTATTGGACAAAATGATAAAAATTTTAAATATAATATTCAGTAATTATATGGACAACTCTAAGTAAATTCGTTGTTTATAAAAATTTAATAATGAATTGAACGATTTATAGTCACACATAAAATTTTATTAAAAGCTTAATATTTAAAATGTTTACATTTTGTTCAATAATTAGATCATGTGTGTAAAAGTAAACTATTGAAAATATATCATTAATATAAATAGTAAAATAGAATTTCATTAATAATCAAGGATTATTTTATTTATCTTTAGTATAAATACTCGCATTTTTTTTCTCAATCTTATATCTCATTATTATCAGCAAAATAAAATTTCATTATAAAATCAACAATTTATTGGTCACAAAAAATAGGCACGCAAAAGTCATGCGTTGTTATTTATGGCTGTTTATTTAACGGACCATAAATGTACCGTTTGGATTTTAGAATTCATTATACATTTGCTATTTATTAGGTGAAAATTAAGTATTTTGTGTATTTTGCGACGATTTAGTTTAGTGCTCACATAATACATATATTCAGCGAGCATCAACTAACAGTAGCATAACCTTAATATTAATAATTTTCATTTCAATAATGTAATCATTAACTGTACCACATGTTTTGTATGCTGTACATATTAAATTGTTGAGTAAAAAATGATAATAGTAAGATTATTATTGCTAGTTGGTGTTTATTTTCTTATGAAAATATATCATTAAGCTCGCAAAAAAATTATTGGAAATAATTGAAAAATTATTTAAATCAGATATTGCACACTATTTATATTGTACATTATTAATAACTCATATTCTTTATTTTATTATTTTATAATCTAATGTCACTGTTTCTAGTTATCTAATATTATTAACTGAAATAGTTAATATTACTAATTAACGCTTTCAGAAATTTTACTGGTTTACAGTAGATTTATAATTGCTATATTTATAATTGCTATAATTAGAGATTATTTACTGTTCTTTAGTAATAATATATTGTACTGATTTACTTTTAGAGAAAACTAACTAGTACATTTACCTTAAGAATTGTTATCTTTCTAATTTAAAAATATAATTAATGTGTCCGAAAAATTTTATAAATAATTTTCGAGAAGAATTTCTTCAAGTGTATAAATATATTATGTAAAAATATTTCCTCCAAACATGTTCACATTGTTCACTACAGCACGCAAATCTCTTTCATATGCAATAATTATGATTTTTGCAAAAATTTAAGTATATTTTAGGTACTACACGTTAGTGGACAAATTGATATAATGTGTCATGAGTATAAAAATATTTCTAAAAGTATTTCTCTTCATGAATCTACCGTATCTTTATTTAGAATGTTGATCGAGAGACATAATAGAATTATATCATTTTCTAAAAACATTGAAAAACTTATCTCATTTATTGCACTGATGCAAGTTGTTTTGGATACGTTAATTATCTGCGGTCTAGGATTTTTCATCATAATTGTAAGTTCTACAATACATTAATACAATGGATTTTAATTGACATCGTATATATATCATTCTTTTTTATGTTCATCGAATTAGAGTATTCATAACGAAATGGGTGTTTTTATGGTAATAAGAACCATTTTTGCTATTGTTCTCATATTGGCTGAGGTTTTCATCATTTGTTTTACTGGAGAACATCTTAATTACAAAGTAAGTATTTATGTAAGTATGTAAAAAGTTGTAGATCATAAATATAAAATTTTTTAATTTTATATAATTATAGTGCCATGATGAAATTACGTGGTATTTTTTCTTTATAATAATATTTTAATATAGTAATGTACAAATATTATTTAAAACAAATTTTATTTAAAATATATATGTTTTTAATAAATATTATTTTTACTTTAGAAATATATTACAACATTTTTTAAATATAATATTGATATCTCTGCTAGTCTCTGCTAGAACAAAAAATTGCTGTAATCTTAATATATTGTTTTATATTTTATTATGTGATTTCTTATACTTGAAAAGTAGAAGTAGACAAGTAAAATATTTTTAATATATATATATTATGCTTGTTTATTCTTATTATATTGTATATCATAATTTTTATGTTATTCTTTGTTTTTTTTTTATTTTTTAATCTTTATAGAACTTTTTTGATATCAGCAATTAAAAAAACTTTTATCTGTTAACTTTTATCTGTGTAAATAAGTAGTATAAATATATATGACAAGAAACCGTTGCTTTTGTGTATTTTTGCTTTTAGAGTAAATCAATTGTCAATGCAGCATACGAATTGACGTGGTATGATATACCGTCACATCAGAGTAAAATGTTAATACTAATAATAATGAGATCTCAGAAGCAACTGACAATATCGGCAGGAAAAATGATGGATATGTCATTCGAAACTTATACAAACGTAATTTAATAAATTATTGGACATTTAATTTTTAGGACATTATTTTAATTTGCTTATAATCAATCTGCTATTTATATTTTTATGCATAAATATAATTTGTAGATCAAACATTATCTTCTTATTTCTACTCTTTTAGATCATAAAAACATCAGTATCATATATATCTATCATGAATGCTTTATATTGACTCAAATAAAATTACGGTAGACATTTATTGAAATAGTAATAAAATTAGTGTAAGTCAATAAGTAAAAAATGTTACTTAATTTAGAATTCGATTATATTAAAATATCAACAGAATAAAGATTAGAGAGCCAAGTTAAATATTTTTTTGTTCAAATGAATAATTTAATATCTAAACATATAACAAACGTTTCACATTTTTAAATTGAAAATTCTCAGTATTACAGTTAAAAGTTAAATGCTGTTAAATATATGTAATAGACGAAAATAAAAGAGTTATAAAATTGTAATCTTTTAGAATTCTTTTATTTTTTGATTAACAATTAATCAAATGTTGTACGTATGATCAATATCACTTAAATTTTTAATTGTGACACTGACAATGAGGATGACTGATCTTGATTTTTATTAACAATTCGAAACATTTATTATTGTTTATATACTCTCTAGTCCTTGTTCTGTTGATTTTTGAATTTTACTTTCATTGAATGTTTTATATATTAGGTGTTGGAATTAATTCGTAGCGTTTTTTAATGAAAGAATGTTATTTATTTCACATGAGCATTAAAAAATACATTAATGAAAGTACTTCCCATCACTTGTAAAACGCTACGAATTAATTCCAACACCTAATATTTATATTAATTTTAAAGTATTTACAATTAAATTCTTATTAACAGTTAATATCCGTTATTTACTAGTTACCAATAATAAATAAATTACTTAAATAAAAAATTATCTTTAATATAAAAAAATAAAACATAAAACAAGTAATTTTTATTTACTTAGTATTATTATATTACTGTATATTTTTATTCACTAGACAACACAAACCAGTAATATTTAACTTTTAATATTATATACTTACACACTTATAATAATTTAATTTTTTGTGAGTTGTCAAATCGTGTGTTGAGTTACTTTCGCAGTATAAAGCGAAAAAACAATCAGAATTACGGTAAAAAGGCAACAATGTATTTGACTATTGATTTAATACTTAAATTTTATTCCAGGAAAAAAGATATTTCTGCGGAGATCGTCGGATGTTTTCGGACATTGACCCTTTATCAACAAGTTATGCATTCAATATGTATAGACACATATTCTGGATATAAGCATATTTGAAACTAAATATTTATGACTTCAACTGAACAATTTTTTTAAATTTTAAAATATCTTTCTTAGATAAAGATGCATAATATCTCTTACGATTAGAAGTATTAAAGGATATTCGTCATTTCATTCCTATACTCGGTTACTCTCCCCTCACTTTATTTCTTTAAAAACTGCACGAATATAATTCAGTTCCATTTACATAGAATACATAACATGTAATTATTATTATTCTACTATAAGTTTAATGATTTTTGTTGCGTATATGCAGAACATATGATAATAGACATTTATTTATTTTTCGAAGAAGTGTTGTTAAGAGACAAGTCGTAAAAAAACGGAACTGACAATTACACATCGAATTATAAATTTGGCGGATAAATCCGACATCTTTGTTATTTTATGGTTATTAGAATATTAGTTGTTAGACTATGAACAGAAAATTATAGGATGTCCATAAAAAATGAACTCTATCTTTATTTGCTGTGATACACTATATATATATATATATAAAATGACGATTGATTATACTTACGAAAGTGGGCATAGAGTTGCATTTGGAAAAATCATTAGTTCTTTCTTATCGGAGTACCAAATAAATGTGCCGATACTGATCTTCATTTCCTTGTGTTCTCAATACTGATTAGGAATAATAGCACAAGTATTGTGAGTTGAAGACCAGGTGATTTGGTGTGTGGCCGGATGTATTGTATGCATATTGGTTAATTTATATATTTAGCATGTTTAGCATATAGTTCTTTCAATATTGATATTTGTATTCGAGCACTTCAAGATCAGCGAGCCTTCGAATTTCGTCGATAGTTTACTCGCAGCATTAGATTACAGCTTACAACAATTTTCAAAGTAATCAGTCTTTGAATACGATGTCGATGTAAGACATTGCTGCAAATTTCAGCTTCATCTAATCTCGTCTTGTTTGAGATATAAAAAATATTAAGTTAGCATTAGTTTTTTATTATATATTTAATCGGTTAGATCTTCTATAAACGTGTCCTAAATCTATCTAATCTTAAACTTTAATTCGAGTAATACGGTCTCGTATAAACGATACTAACGATTTATAGAGCATATATGATACCATTTCTGTCTTAATATCTATCCAATTAAAATAACACATTATAGAATTGTCATTTATTAGCTTTTAACCGCTATGAATAATGATTGGCGAAATTGCATTTATATTAATCAACATTTGTATATAATGATAATTAAAGGTAATTTATTGCTTTTTCGTTCTAATATTATGTTTAGCATTAATACAATTGGTACGATGTTGTACTTTCTGAGTTATGGTTACGCAATTCGTTTTGTACATCTGTCCTGAAGATTATAATGATATGTTACAGCAGCTTACCATTAAGGTACAATTTCTCTTTGAAACTCAAAATTTATCAATTTTTGAACTGCTGGCATAATTCTATTTCTACAAGCGGTGTTAAATGCGTGGACGCTTACTACTCCGGCGCTTTAATTTTTACTTTAGTAAGTCACCTTATCAATAATATTTTTATTTAAACAAATGTTTAATGGCAGCATGTGACGTCAATATGTGCAAGTGTGATCTGCATCATACCATGTTCTGGAATGTGTGATTTCTTGAAAAAATTTATAATTTATTAGTGCGACGTTTAGTAGAAGCAGCAAATATAAGCGAAGAAGAAATTCAAATGTGGAACAATATGTAATAATTGAATTTCTTATCAAGCAAAAAACAAATCTTCGAAAATATGTACAAGGATAAAAGCACATGACGAGGGAACGTTTGGACAGAAGCATTTATATATGAAGTAAGGCTTTCGAAGAAGATCGACAATGTGTTCAGAATAAACCGCATCCTTGGCACCCAAGACCGACAACGGCAGAGAATGCTAACCGAATTGATGTTTATGCTGATCAACGCATTACAGAGTGAGACATTGCCTTTATTTTGAAAAGCATATTTCCGAAAGTTTTATTCCTTTCTTAATAAGAAATTTAACAATTATGAATTGTCCCATATTAGATAATCTTTGCTTATGTCTGTAGTTTTTATCGTACTTTGAGTTAGTGAGTTCATCGATTTTTTCAAAAGAATACACATTACGAAACTTTACTCGGGCCCTTATTCTTAAAAAAAATATGTATGAAAAATTAGGGAAATACTATAGTATACGTAACGTATACTCTCTAATTTTTTATACACGTTTCTTTTCAAAAATAGAGATCTTAATACTGATCACACTCGCACATGCTTCGATTGTTACTTGAGCGTGTAATTAAAGTAAAAATTTAAATTTGACGTCTCCCCTAATACTAATAATAATAATAATAATAATAATAATAATAACAATAATAAAGATTTTATGATGCTACTCCATAGCTCTCTTCATTTATATTTTATAATAAATATACATATATATATATATATATATGTATATACATACATCTTTTTTACACTTCAATTTTTTCAACTTTTACTGATAAACTTATAATAGTAAGAAAATAAAGAAAATTTTGAAAACTTATATAAAGATTTTTATACAATATTTGATATTCAATAAGGAAAAATTGTAAAAAATGTTATTTATTATATTTTTTATGTCTTGCATTATTTTTAGGGCAAATCAATTGTTGACGCAGCATATGAATTACAGTAGTACGATTTACTGTCAAATAAAAAAAATGATAAATTATAGAAAGATTATAATAAGATCTCAAAAAGCGATTCATAATTACAACAGGGAGAATTACAAATTTATTTTTGGAAACTTTCACGAATGTAAGTTTTTGGAATAATTTTTTTAAATAAACCTTTTTGACATTCACGAAAAATATAAGTTTGTAAAATAATTTTAAAAATCCTTTTTAGATTTTAAAACTATCAGCATCATACGTATTTGTTTTATACGCGATATATTGATATTCATCACAACAGTGATTTGTTGAAATCTTAGTATTATTTAGTATTATTAGTATAAAATGTTAATATAAAGAATTGTTATTATTAAACTATTTTTGATAAAATGATAGTACTAAATTTTTATGTTGTTTTAAGATTTATAAATGGACAATATAGAATTGTACTTAAATTGATTTAAATCTCAATCTTCATATCGGTCTTTTCTTTAACTTTAATTTTGTATTTTAAAATTTTCTCGGATTTAGAAAGAAGAGAAAGAGAAATAGAGAAAAAAAGCAATTTAGCTTTTCAAGGAACGTAATAATTATTGAGACTTTATTCTATCTAGATCTAAACATGTGCAGTTTATGTTGGTACATTTATTTGTTTGTGTTTGTATAATATAACCAAACTTCTATAAGACATCCAGTTGATTTTAGTTCTTTGAGTTTCCTTTACACATATGTTCTGAGAAAATTCAATATTTATGTTATTAGAGGAAATTATTTTTCATTATGTTGTGGGAGTTTAATACATCGGAGGGATATAAGATATGTTTTTTTCTTTTTTATCTTCGTAAAAGTTCACGATCGATGCACGAATTCATTTCCGTTACTGAGAATACCTAAGTCGCAATTATAAACTTTCAAACTATCCTACGTTCAACAATCATTACGACATCTAGAAAATGATGCACATCCGTTTTTTTTTTACAATGTAGCATTATTAGTAGGAAGAAATGGTTCAATGCATGATTTTTTGTTAGTTCATGGTAAAGATACATTATTAAATTGTACAAGGAATATAGAATAATTGTACAAGATAATATACGAATTATTCTTCCTCAAATTGTTGTTATACGATGTATAACTGCGATTGATGATTGGTCTGTATTCACATGAGTGGGGGTATACCGTGTGTGCGTGGGGATGCACTTGGAAAAATTGTTACTGTCCTGTCAGTTCTTTCATAGTCACAGTAGACAAATGTGCTAATCTTCATCCTCTGTTTTCTAAATTATCAACGAATGGTAGCCAAGAGTACCGTTAGTCCGGCGCTGAAATTCAGCCTTCGGCTGCTTGGTGTATGGCCGGAAGTGTCATATTCTATTTTTTATTGGCTGATTTTTATGTCAAGTATATTGATTATACAGTATTTTCAATATCTGTACATACTTGAGCACTTCAAGATCAGCGAGTTCTCAAATCTTATCGATGGCTTATCTTTAACTTTAGATTACAGTTTGACATTTGTTAAATTGGTCAGCCTATGGATACATCGTCGGTAAGACAACGTGTCGCGTATGTAACATTACATCTTATATCAAATCACCGATATATTATAGAAAAACTATATTTTTTAGTTTAAAAATTCAAGCATTTAACAAGGAATGCATTAATATTACATTTGAATCATTACTGCATTGATCTGGCATGAATAGAATATTATTCGTTACTTGATAAATTAATATTACAGTGTTTTTCATAAAATCTTGACTGCTATGGATAATGATTGGCGCGAGTGTATCAACATCGATGAGCATTTGAATATGATGACAATTAAAGCCACTGTATCTCATTTTTATTCTAATGCTATGTTGAGTTTTAATGGTGTAGCTGCAGTATTGTACGTTTTGGGCGATTATGCAATTCGTTTTGTATATACATCCAAAGATCACAATGATACCTTGCGACAGCTTCCTATCAAGGTGCTTCTTCCTTTCGAAACAGAGCAGTCGCCGATTTTTGAGCTACTGGTCGCAATTATGTTTCTGCATATAATACTAGTCTCATTATTAGTCGCCGTTTTAAATGGATTAATTTTTACTTTGGTAAGTCTCGTATTCTAAATTCAATTTTTCTATTTTATCAAAATTAACAAAAGAATTTGTGATGAGAATTAGATCCAAGAACATTGTTGCATAAAAATATCACTTAATATGTATTACATGTGACATTTTCGTATATACAACATTGCAGCATTATTGTGTAAGAATACTTCCTTTAAAAACTTAAAGATAAATGTTGAAAAATATTTGGAAAAAATATGCTTAAATAAATATATCACATAAGAATAAACAATTGAAAATTTACACTAAATATGTGTTTTGCCATTAAAAATATTTTTTACAAATA